CAAGTTAGTTCTTTCTATTGATTCAAGTATTATGGTTTATGTTAAACTCACTCTTTCGCCTCTCTTCTTAGTATAAGATCCATATAAATTTCATTAAATAGGAAAATTATGTTAAAATGATTGTTGAAAAAAGAATGTTTTTAACAGTTATAATGAAAATACTGCAGTGCACTTTTTCATGTATACCTGACATTAGATGCTTTGGTATAACAAAAAATATAGTTTGGTTAAAATAAATGGACTTTAAGTATCCATGTATACATGCAAAAATGTGTTTTTATTGTTGTGTATATAATAACTTTATCATAATATCATCACCATTTGCAGTAACAATATGTTCGATGAAGAAGGTAGAAGCAGATATTTGTGAACAATTGAATTGAGTTGTAGCATGTTTGAGAACACATGTGATGGAAGTTGTAAATGTGTAGCGATTAGATATGTGATTAATTTTTCCTATAGTAGCCATTCTTTCAAACTTACCAAGAAAGATATTTTTTTTGTTCAGCTAAGGAATGGTAAAATGTTGCATTATCTGTTTAGGATTAAAAACTAAATACAATTGAACTATGTTTCAAAACATTGATTTAAAGACTTTATATATTTATGCAAATGTATGAAGAATATTTATATATTTTACAATGTGTTGATATTTATGTTGTAAAATCATTTATTTTTATAATGACAATTTATGCCACTATTTTTATGATCGAGGTATAAAAGATATTTCAATAATTTTTATCTTTGACAAAATTAACTTTTGACAAAATCTTAAGTTGTTGTAAAAAGTATATTTTTAGTAACGATTATGGTCATTGTGTTCTATCAAATAAGACAACAATAATTATTGTTGTAAAAACATACATAAATTATGACAACGACATAATGTTATTGCAAAATTTTTTACAATAGCACTTATATCAACAATATGTAATGATATTTTTCTGACTGTAAAAAAAAACATTTTGCAGCAATTTTGTATTTGTTTTCTTGTTTTTTTCTTGGACATTATTTTGCCCATTTTGTGCCAAACTATTTTATTTCCAGTTTGTTTTAAAGAATTACTGGACCTAAGTTAATATTTTAGAAGTTTTGCTAATTTTGTTTTAGGAAGTTAATAAGAAAAAATAGCATTAAGGATATATATAATAAGAAGTTTTTAAATAATGGTCTCTTTTGGTTGCGTTGACTTTTTTGCAATTTCAGCCGATACATGTGTTGCAATTGTGATTGTGTTAGACGCCGTGTGAATTAATGAAAATTTGTTCATTGTCCTAAAAATGATTAATAATAATATCAATATCAACATCTTTTGATACCGTTTTATCACATCTATTTTCATTGTAACTGACTATTTTTAAAAGCTTGGATAAGACTCTGCATAAAATACTTCATGTCAGATTTTAAGACAATACTTATAAATAAATCAAGACAAAATTCTTGAATATTTTGTTTAAAAGGTTAATTTTGAATGGATATCAAATGAAATACAATTGAACTAAAAATATCGTCACTTCAAGTTGTATATATAATTTTACGACTTTAACACACTTAGTTAAAACATTTATGTCAGATATAATATCAAATATTGTTGTGTAATAACTTCAATTTAAAAGATCTCGGAGAGGTGAGCTCTATCATTTTGATTGAATACTATGTTATAATAAGGAATTTATTCGGATAATTATAAGTACATTTAAAGATCTTTTCAAGAACAAAAACTACTTTGAGTTTAAACCTTTTTGCACCTCATATGGGCCAAATGTTAAACACTTGAAGAACACTGGTGATAACGTAAGATAATCTGAATATGTTGTTAGAACAAGATTTTGTTTTACATCTGTATTTTTATGTTTTGATGATAACAAGTCAGTATTTGTGTGAGAACAATTTTGGTATCCTAACAGTTTGTTATTGTGTATCTTTAGCAGACAACTTTGATTCTGACTCTTGAACGTGAAACCTTACAAGTTTCTGAACATATTGACCTAAATGGCTTCTGCTCAAACTCACAGATGAAAAGCTTCTAAGAAAACTGTATATTGTTGTTGCAACATTCTCTTCGCTCTTGCTTCTGACACGTGACTCTGATCAATTCACTTCTGAAGACTGCTAAAACTTCCGAAGATTAAACGCTGAAGGTTCTAAAAACTCTGAAGAATCTGAAGTTAGATATTGATATGATCAACCTTTTGATTGGTGATTGAAGTTTCTGAACTCAAGCAAAATCAACTCTTCTAACTCATTCTTCAAACAATGATTAGAAGATAAGAACAGGTTTATACGTGTGAAAAATAGTACATGGTACAAACTAATATTTCTTCCACTAAGCGGATTTTATGGAGTAAGAAAATTAAGGTAGTACGATTTATGTCCCCTCCGTATCAAACAGTTACTCAAGTTTCCAGCTCATTCATGAAGAGTACTAGATCTACCCTTCAACGGATTTTTTTACTAGCTATATAAAGACTCGAAGACTTGAAGAAATACAACATGCAAGCAAGCAAGCAAGCAAAATAACAAATAAATTTTTACAAGATTGTTGTCTAAATTTGTGCAGAATTTTCTTTAAGTGTATTGTGCTTTTAACTTGTTTATACCTGCTTGTGTAGAAGCAGTCTTTGTAAACACAACTTTGTAATCAAACTGTTGTTTGTATTTCCTTAACGGACCAGTTAGGTCAGAATCCTTGAGAAGACATAGACTGTGTGTCTTTGTGATTTGTTAGTCACCAGTGATTGCTAGTGCAGTTGTAATCAAACTGTTGTTTGTATTTCCTTAAGGGACCAGTTATGTCAGAATCCTTGAGAAGACACAAATTGTGTGTCTTTGTGGTTTGTTAGTCACCAGCAGTTTCTAGTGTAATTGTATGCAGTTGATTATAGTGGATTAAGTCCTTGGGTATAAGGCGAAATCACCTTGGCGGGTGGGCTGGATTACCTTTGATATTTTCAAGTGAACCAGTATAAAAATCGAAGTGTATTTTTCTTTGTTGTTTATTAGCGGTGATTTTTATTGAGTGAGTAAAAAGCTTTTGTTTTTGTAAACCCCAATTCAAACCCTCCCCCCTTCTTGTATTTTTCTCACCTTCATATGTGAGTGTCATTGATTACCTTAGGTACGAAATAGATTTTCCTAGACTTAACATTGTTTATTTTGTAGAACTATTGTGCAAGTTTTAGTATAAAGTATTCAAAGATTCAAACTTTAGAGATTGTGATAAAATTTTATCAAACATTTAACCGTGTTCAGTATCGATCCAGTGTGTGTGTGTGTGTGTGTGAGAGAGAAACAATGTCGGTCGCCGCTATTCCAATAGAGAAAGATCATTATATATAGTGTCAAACCACCAGTATTTGATGGTGACAAGTTTGACTATTGAAAAGAGAGAATTGAAAGTTTCTTTCTTGGCTATGATGCAGATCTTTGAGATCTTGTTGTTGATTACTACAGTCATCCTGTTAATGGTGCAGGAGAAAAAGTATCAAGAAGTGTTGTGACTGATCAACAAAAGAAAGATTATGAAAATCATCACAAGGCAAGAACTATACTGCTAAATACTATCTCTTATACTGAGTATGAGAAGATAACAAATAGAGATACTGCCAAGTTCATTTTTGATTCTCTAAGAATGACTCATGAAGGAAAAGCTCAAGTTAAGGAAACAAAGGCGTTTTCCCTAATTCTGAAATATGAGGCATTCCGAATGGAGGATGATGAAACAGTTTAAACTTTGTTTTCAAAGTTTTAAATGCTAGTCGCGGGACTCAAGATTCTGGACAAAGGATACTCAATAGCTGACCATGTCAAAAAGATCATCAGAAGCCTTCCTAAGAAGTGGAGACCTATGGTAACTGCCTTGAAACCATTTAAAGATCTGAGCAGTATCAGTCTTGAAGAACTTGTTAGTTCTTTAAGAAGTCATAATATAGAGCATGAAGGAGATGAATCTCAAATATTAAACACCAAAGTCCCTTTTACTTTCTGTTATTTTACTTTCCGTCTTTACAAACATATCAAACACATGATAAACCATTCCTTAAGTTATAGAAACTATTGAACGGTCTTTAGAACGCAATCAATTTCGTTTTACTTTTTGTTAGTTTACTTTCCTTATCCACAAACTAGTCAAAAACCTGATAAACCATTCTTAAAGTTATATAAACTATTGAACGATTTTGGAAACACAACTAGTCCATAAGGAGACGATAAAAACCGCACTTGCTTCCTAAGCTATAACAATTACTATCATAGATAAACCTTCAATCACATCAATAAACATTTTACTACAACAAAAACTAACATTTCTAAGTTATGTGCATAAATTTAAAAAGTGACATCCTCTTTGTTGAAACTACCAATCGAAGAAATATATATATATATATATATATATATATATATATATATATATATATATATATATATATATATATATATATATATATATATATATATATATATATATATATATATATATATATATATATATATATATATATATATATATATATATATATATATATATATATATATATATATATATATATATATATATATATATATATATATATATATATATATATATATATATTGGTTATTCGGTTTTTGAAGACTATGAAGTATAACTTTGTAAAAGATATAGAGGACAAATAGAGAAAGTTATAGAGAAGACATTGGCTTGTTCGGTTTTTGAAGACCATGAATGTGGAATCCATCACTTACAATTTACACACTTGTCACTATCATCCGACATCATAGTACTATCATACTTTAATATATTTTAATAAGCTCGTGTTCCATGCTTCAATAAATACACACAAACATTATCTACTTGTTCAAAAAAAGGGAGCAATATATCTTATCTGAATGTGTGGTGGAAAATGTGGCATGACTCACAAGATTTGTCTATAAATTACAACATGTAAGAACAAACTAATGCAATAACACAACACAACGCAACACCAACTTACTAGCTAGTTCTTTCAACTCATTCAAGCATTATGGCTTATGCTAAGCTCTCTCTTTTGCCTCTCTTCTTACTTGCCACATCATGTAAGTCTTCTATTCTACTTTTTACCATGCATAAATACATAAATTAAAACAAAATTACTAGATGCACTTTTATAAGCAATTCTGATACCAATTTGCACCACATTATATTAGTTCTGGAAACGGGTTAAACAAAATGATTACCGAAATAGTTTCAGATTTATATTATAATGTTAATGGACTTACTTTCTATTTGCAGTATTAATGTTTCCAATGAAAAAGGTGGAAGCAACTCGTTGTCAAGAGGGTTGTTCCCTATCTAAGCTGGATTGCGGCGATGGTTGTCAATGTATAATGGATGACTTTGTGACTGGTATTTGCGAAACAATTGAATATGTTACTAAGATGGTGGAGCAACATCCTAGCTTATGTGAGTCTCATGGTGACTGTACAAGAAAGGGAAGTGGGAGCTTCTGTGCTCTATATCCAAATTCAGATATTAAATATGGCTGGTGTTTTGAATCTAACTCTCATGCAGAAGCCTCGTTCAAGAATGCTCTTAACTCTGAATTCTCAAACTTGTTGAAGATGTCCTTAGAAGTTTCCACTTAATATGTACGACAAAAATCATCCATGCATGATCTCTCTAGTTAAATAAAATTTCTACGTATGTCTTTGTTTCCAACTAAGTTTGGATTTGTTAGACACTAAGACTTCGAAAATAATGTATGCATGTGTGTTGGTATGTAAGTTGTTAACTACAGTATGTTTTAATTTTGCATGTAATTGAATCTAACGAATATTGGAGCTTGTGTCAAAAATCTCTAAACTATTTGATTCACGTACGTTCTTTTTTTTTTTGGAAACAAGAGAATCCTAGACTTCAATAAATCATTTAGGATAGAATAAGATAATAATATATTTAAAGGATATGGATAGGACCTTGGGAAAAAAATTCAATTTATAGTTGTATTACGGTTAAAAAAATTTAAATAAGAAGATTTTGTTCAGCCACCCCACAATTATACTTAGCAATTCTTTTATTATAGAGAAATGCTAAAATGACAGTCAAATTTGACATTACACCATATTTATATACCGTTCAGTTCAATTTTTTTATTATTATTTATGTACATTAGAATTTGAGCCACAGTGAAAATAATACTTTACAGCTATGGTGTCATAATTTGGTGTAGCTATAATATTTCTCTATATTATGTTATTTTTATATATTGAAAATTATTTTCACATTTTCATTGTGATATTTTGAAAAGCTGAACGTTTTACTAAAGATTTCGAGCAAATTATTGAATTTTTAAAAATTAGATGTATTTTTATCGACAATTTAAATTTTATTTTGCTTATGTTGTAAAATCCATGCATTTTTATTGACATTTTTAAAATGTCCGATAAAAACACATATTTCTCATGTATTTTTACAGGTTTTTTTGAAAAATGCAAAAAAAACACATGCATTTTTGTAGGCACTTTTGAAAAGTTTGGCAAATTTGCATACTTGTTTGTTGAATATTTTAAAAATTCCTATAGAAGAATCGGTAGCTTGTATCTTGATTTTTCGAAAAATATGAGAAGTCCATGTGGATTTGCGGATATTTAAAAAATATGATAGTTTGTATTTAATAATTTATTTAGTGAGGATCAGAAGGCGAAGCAACACGATTGCCTCTAGACACACCGTCAGAGTTGAAAGAGCAGTTGTAGAGAGCTCTCGTCCAAGAGCATTTGACATCGAGAATTCACACATATGGGCGGGTAGAGTAGTCCCGACCAAGTCTCATAGAAGGAGGTTGGCTGAGTAGTAACGCACATCCCTCACTGTTTAGTGTAAAGGAGGTAGAGTTGGACGAGATAGAGATCTTGTTGATGATCTTGATGTTGTGGTTGTTACCTATGTCAAGATAACAACTCGCGTGGGGGACGATTATATAACAAGAAGGTGGTGGTGAGACTGAGGTGACCGCTGACCTCAACCGATATGGTGGACGTGACTTCTCTGACTTATACGAAGCAACTTCTCTCCAGCTGATACAGATGCGACTGCACCAGCGGATACAGAGGTGACTACTCCGGCTTCAACAGAGTCATTGTACATCATATCTATTTTACACATTGATAATGTGTTTCTTAGAGGGCTTAGTGATCGTGCCTTACTCACCGGATATGTCGATCATGTAGCATAGATAATGTGGCAGGGAGAGGTATGTTTATATGTGTGTGTTATGTGTATGTTATTTTAAACTTGTTTTTATTTATTCTTGATATGTTGAAAATAATGGATGGTTTTTACTTTATTTATTTGTTACAGAACCGCCTTCCATTGAAGGTGTCCATCCAAGGAGCGAAGTTGAAGAAGTTATCAGATGTTTATATGCCTTAGAAGGTTAGGGACATTATCAATGACTACAACCTCCTTTCGTTGGTGGACTATTTGTTGACTATGTTCGACGTTCCACTGTCGTTTTGCTTTTGTTGAGCGATGGCATAAGGAGATATCCTTCTTACATATTCCATTATGTAAGATGAAGATTACTTTGAATGATGTATCCTCCTTCTTTCATCTCCTTATGCCAGGTAGCTTCTTTATTGCTCATTTCATTAACTAGAAGATTGCATGTATAATTTTGTTTGAAGTTGTTTGTATGCAGATAGTTCAAATTATTAAAAAAAGCCAAATGCAGATGAATCAATGCTTAAGATAAGGATAAAATCAAGAGTGATGGTATGATAAGAGGTTTATTCTTATTGTTAGAGCAAGATTTGTTCTTGACATTTTCTCTTTTAGTTTTGATGATAACAAAAGTATTAAAAGAATAATGGTTTATTTGATGTGTGTTTTATTTATGCAGGTTCTTTTTCTTGTACATAAATAATTAGAATTTGTTTTACTTACACACACTTGGAGTTGCTTCATTGCAGGCTTCTGGTGGCAGAGTCTGAAAAACAATTCCTAGTGTAGTTTGACAAAGACTATAAATTGAAGGCCTCAACATTCAGATGAGTTTCTACACTTATTAATTGTATATCAACATCTGGTACCATTCAGAGTTGGTGATAAAGTTGTGGACTATCCGTAATACTAGAAGCAAATTGTATTATCTTATTAGTCTGTCAGCTTAAGTCTACAATATTGCAAGGCTCATGAAAAGTTGTACGTTGTATGAATGTCTGCTTCCAACGGCTCTATTAGTACAGAACCTCTTGATGACTCAAAGGTTAAACGTGTTACAAACTGGATTAAGAATCTGCTATGCATCTATCTTCAATGTCTCTTGTACTATGGAGCAAAAGCAAAGACACTTGATTAAGTCACCTTCTTAACAGCTAGTTTCTGGAAAGGCTATATATATGACTTAAGATTCAAGCTTGAATTTTAACAAGGATTCTTATATTGAAGGAGTAGCAAGATCAAGCAATTATCAACTCTATGTAATACTAGCGTCCAAACGGGCACTTCCGTGCCCGTTTGACCGTCTTTTTTAATATGCACACGCGTCAAAATACGAACGGATATTTGTTTTATTTAATTTTGATTTTAATTTAAATTATTTGTATAGTAAACTTTGTAATATATATTTCTCTCTCTCCCCCTCCCATTTCTCTCTTATAAATTTGATAAAAGTGTTTAGAGTGGAGTTTGTAGAGTAAACTGAACAACACGTATATCCCCTGCAAACATGTATGCTCCACCACAACTCTTCTCGTGCTTGTCCATTTTTTTAATGAGCATACACGTTTATATTATAAACGAATATTTTTTTTATTAAGTATGATTTAAATTAAATTATTTAAATACTAAATTTTCTGATATGCATCCTTATGTTTGTAAGAAAATTTAAAATTCCATTTATTTAATTAATTAGAAGTTAAGTTATTTTTCAAATTAAATTTGTAAGTAATATGACATTTATTGTGCATCTCTCTTTAACATAAAAAATAAAAATCATAAATAAAAAATTAACAACAAAACTCAACTAATTTAAGAAAGTGAATAGTTAGTGTTTGAAATTTTCAATAATTCACAATAAATTTTTTTGTCAATATTTTTATTTTATTTTCTCATACTTAAAATTGTGTTCAATAGCAAGGTCATACATATAGACGTAAAAGATAAAATAACGGAAGTTATATATTTTTGCAACTGTCATTGTATATTTGAACGGTATATTAAGTGTTAATAAATGTGACAATTTTTTAAAAACTGTTTTATTAAGAAATATAATTTTTTGAGGAAATATTTTTTATTTCCATAGTACATATGAAAGTTAACAATATATGAAATATTAAAATTGTGTGTACTAATTAAGTTTGTGGAAGATTTTCAAAGAGATTTCATTCTATACCATTATATTACAACTTTCTGTTAAAACCATAAAAGAAAATGTTAATATGAGAAATTGATATGTAACACTCTTATCTCCTCTTCTCATCTCTCCTTTTATTCTATATGTCAAATAATGTTAACCAAATTAATGATTTTTTAATATGAAAGAAATACAAACCATCTCCAAAACTTAATTAAATTACCATACAAATAGATAGTTACAATGACAAATAACAAATCAAAAGTAAGATAAAAATAAAAATTTAAAATGAAAGAACTGACAGCATTAAAAATCAAACCATTCCAAAAAGTAATGCCGATGAAACAATTATATATATTATGAAAATCTAGATTACATACTTACATATTTTATGATGTGTTTATACTCACAAAATACAAATAAGTATCATTAAGAAATAAAACATAATAACAGCAAAAGCAAAAAGTTAAAACTATAGTATTAATGAATAATGTTTTGCAACAAAAATAAGATATAATTTCTGAAAGAAAAAAATAGTTCAGTAGAAAACCACTCTTACCCATTTTGGTTGCATTAAATGCTTGTATTTTACTGTATTTTAGATTATGAAATTTTTTCAAGTATCCCATGATCTTTTTTTACTCCATAGTTAATAACTCTGTTTTGAAAAAAAAGGAAAGTTTCGTAAATGGTAAAATTCTAAAAAAGACTCAATTACAGAAGTCATACAAAAACAATTACTACAAAATCAATTACCAAAAAATCAACATAACAACAATCAATTTTCAGCCATAATGAGAACTGTTTCTTCTATTGGGGTGATGACGCGGTCTTGACTTGAAATAAACTTCATCTCATTCAAAAATCAAAAGATCACTAATCAAAATTGAATAAATAAAGATATTATAGAATGAAAAAAGTTTTTAAAAAATAGTATTTTCATTAAGAAAGAGATGAAATTTACATAAAGAAATAGAAGAAAAATTTTAACTTCTGTCACCACACAGTAGTTAATGGAAGTTATAGGTGTGAGATTTTTTGTTGTGAGAGATGGAAGTTACTTTTTCAAATGGTAACCAACAAAAGTTATTAACCACTCAAGATTTTAAATTAAACTATTTTTTTGTTGATAAAAAAGATGAATGGTAATTTTGGAACAAAAATAGGCCACACCAAAAACTTGTATCCTCTTTATATATAGTTATAGATGCAGATTTTCTGTTTTAGGTTGTAATTGTAAAATCCTTAGGATTATTTACCCCTGTAAATATAAGAAATTTTAAGTGCTTT